AGGGAAGTAGGGTAGTCAGAGCCTATCCTGGCAAGGAACAGGTGCAAGGCAGGAAACACCCTGGACAGGATGCCAGTCCACCTCTGGGCAGACACAGGCACATACACAAACGCACTTGCAGCAAGTTTTCCCAGAAGCCAGTTTACCTACCAGTATGTCTTTGGATTGCGGGAGGAAACCCATATGAATAGGGGGATAACGTACAAACTTCACGCAGCTAGAACCCCAGGAACTGAACCCAGGGGCCCAGCACTGCAAAGCACCAGTGCTAACAATTGTGCCACCGTGCTGTCCTGTATTAATATTTAGAACATTTATAATATAGTAATTCAATTACCTTAGCTTGCACTCGGCCAGGAAGGTCTCATGCTTCCAGTCTCCTACTTTGCCTCTAATTCAAACAAATCTTTCAAATCTGTATCAAACCTCTGTTTCTTTTGGATAGACCTCAAGAAGGTATTTGTCAGTCACACTCCTTTTTTTGGGATCAGCCATCAGATAACAAAATGACTGACACAACTTGTTTATTTTGGACAACCAAGAAATTAACCCGGCTGCTGGCAGTACTTAATTTGAACTTAAGGATGAAACATTGTAAAATAGGTTAGAGTTACCTTTTTGGCACTGTAAATATAGTGTTTTAAAGTATTAAATTAAATAGAGCTTTTTTATGTTTCTCTTTTAATATCTTAGTTCTCTGTGTGATGTACTTCTCTCCATGAAGCTTTCATCTTAACTTGCTCATGCATTTGTTTTAATTTAAACAGAAGTTAAAAAAACAACAACTTCTTTTTATATTTCTGAGGTAATTTTCATGTCTTCATCAAGGATAATTTAGACTGAGTGGCAAACTAAAATATGCATTATAGAATATTTTCCTAAATATTCAATGGGGGAAATCAAGAGATTTCATTCGTGTGAAAATGAAATATTTTCTGTGTTCTCTTCTGTTGAAAATGAACAGAACGTTCATTGAAGGTTGACCTGACACTCTGTATTCAAGTGAATGGTGTAACTTGACCAATGGCAGGAATAACACAAAAACGATAGAAGATTAAACTAAGGGTCTACTATACAATTGTATATGTAAAAAAAAACATGAGTATACAAGTTTTGAGAAGGGTGAGGTCAAAATGTTGGAGAATTGTTTTTTTTTACTTGCAGGTTATGTGTTACAGTGTGTAAATAAAGTTAAAAATGTTATTTAATGTGTCTTGATTTCAGACTGGCCATAGACCACCAAATGTGTTACTTTGGAAAGGGTGTGTAGACTTTCTATAGGCACTGTATGTATGGAGAATTATGGTAGGGTGGGGGTCCAAAACAGGTGTATTTTGAACACATCTTTGTCCAGAATAGTTGGTCATTTATCCCAGAAATCACAGACTAACCATTTGTCCCATAGGAAATTGTATACTGAAATTTTATTTAAAATAAAAATTTATAAGTTAACAGGAGATTGTTTTCATGTGGAATAACTCTATACTTATGGGTTATCTTGGGTGCTGGATTTCTGACTTTAATGTACTGTGACTAAGGTATTTGAGCCAAAAATGTGTTTTTTTTTTATTTGTACAGTAAAAATCTTCCATGTTTCCTATGAGAAGTGTATTGTTCGTTTTCCTGTTCTTAAAAATGACAGTGAAAGTTAAATACCTTATAGTCTGTATATATAAACATTGTCACATTGACATAAAATACATAATGTTTGTTTAGGAGTGGAGCATCTTTCCTCTCTTCAGCACCTTGACCTGGCTTACAACCTCCTTATGGAACATTCCCAACTTGCTCCTCTGTCCCAGCTCCACTGCCTCAGCACGGTGAGCAGAATTACTGTTTTCTAGGGACAATTAGGCCCATACCTGCTTGTTTTTGTGCTGTTTTTTTGTCTAAATGTGTGGAAGTAGAAGCAGAAATTAATTACACATCTTTGCATGCAATGTTATATAAAAATTTAAGGTACATTTGTATTTCTTCCCCCTCATGCTTAAGATAAACAGCTCTGGAAATTTGTTGACAGCATCTTGGGGCTACCTTTGAGTTCCAGTAACAAAGCATGTTTTTTTTTTGTGCTATGCACTTCACTTTGCTTATTTAAGAAACAAAACCACATAATGCATGACAGATGTTCTGTCATCTCTCATATATCCAAGTTTGAAAAAATACTTACGTTATTCTAAAACAAAGACAAAAGCTTTCTGCTTCTAGTCAGATTCCTGAGTGGTGGAAACTGTGTAGAAGTGCATTTAACACTGAGAACAGAAGGTACTTCTTTACCCAAAGGGTGATGGGGATATGGAGCAAACTGCCCAGCCATGTTGTTGAAGCCAATAAATACCATGGCTTCTTTCACAAAACAGCTGGATGAGATCCTTGGATCAATTATCTGCTAACTACCAAATAGATTAGTTGGACTAAATGGTCTACTCTCATTTGTAACTATTCTTATGTTTTAAATTAAAATTAACTCCTTTAAGTGGCCTTTGTATACTTAATGCTCTGACAAATGTCACAGTATAGTCTGCAAATGACTAAAAAATATCCACGTCTTTCGAAGACTAACGAATATAACAAAAGAAAAGATGTGTTAAAAAGTACATGCCTATTAAATATGCTAATATTTAGAGCTAAAGTTATGCTTACTTGACTGCAAACAATTTCCTATGTTTCTAAGCCAAAGGTATTTTTTATATTTTCTACTGTGGTGTTAATTAAACATTTCAGCGCTTTTACAGCAGAAGAAAGCCTTGCTGTTCTATTGTGCAAAATATACCAAATAATTGTGTTCTTTTGACACCTTAGCTCAAGCTGGAGGGTAACCCATTATACTTTCAGCGAGCTCACCGTTTTTCTGTAATCAAGCATATTTCTCCAAAAGCTGCCTGTCTTAAAGTGAGTATATGATACCTCTGCATTCCAAGTGATTTCAGTCAAGCTTTTTTTCCATTATATCTGTTTTCAGTTCTTCTACCATCTGGCTGGCATCCAGACTAATGTTCTGAAATTTAGTAAGAATAAAATGGCTCTGTAATAACTGGGCTGTATTCAGTAGTTGCTAAGGACTGTGATTTAAACAAATTGCATGTCGTATGGATTTATCATCTGACTTACACTAGCCTTTTAGTCTTAAAACATTTGTAATGTTGTAATGTTTCAGTGTTATCTTATGTTTATTTTAACAGTCAGTGATTCCCCTTCCCTCACCACTATCACGGCACTCACTTAAGCTAAAAGTGCCTTTCAGTAGCCAGATATTATAGTAGGTATTATTTCAGGGGGTTGGGTAACTAGGTAAGTGTACATCCATTGATCTGAATTACAATGAATTGCTTGTAATATTTTGAATTTCATTTTTCAGCTCAAGCTAGATGGTTTCCTTCTGTCAGCCAGTGAATTAGCAGTGAGTATTTTTATTTTTTGTCTAAACTGAATTAATTGTTGACTAGTGTATGTCATTATGCTACTGTAGTGAAATTGTAGATAAATAATATTTCTATTATTTCAGTTGCTTTACTATTTGCACTATTTACTGTATATTTCACTCTTTAACTGGTGGAATTGATCTTTTCAAAGGTCCTGCCAAAACCAGGCCAGTTGATTGGACAGATTGTGCAAAACACCCCTCAGGAAGTGATCTTATCAGAGCGTGGTACCCAGGATGTGTCCAGTGGAGGGGGAGAGTTGAGTGACAGTCTGTCCTTAAGTGAATCTGGAGCAGCACGACTTTGTCGAAAGAAATCAAAGGTAGGGGTGATGGTGATGTCGCTTCTTTGGTCATTCAGTTAATTTTAAAATGTTTTTTTTTTTTTAATAAACCAAAACAGTGTTTCCAATTTTTTATGTTGTTGTTGGTGTTATGTTTTTTCTTAAATCAGCTTTAAGTGACTGTTGGCTAAAATCTTCATTGTGATTACGTTTTCAGTATTTGTTCTGTAAAATACGTTTTACGTTCTACATTTCTTTCTACATTTTTTTTTGACCAAAAGCAATTTAGAAGAAAGTGTTCTCTGTCATTTTTCTTGCTTTTTAATACATGTCACAAAGGATTGACCTAATGTTTTGATAGAGCATTCAAGAAAGCAGTCTAATTCTATAACAGTTAAGTGTTCAGATGGCATTGGTGGTTTTTTTCATATTTCACATTTTCTTTCAGAGTAAGATCAAAGTGAGAAGAGCCAGCATTTCTGAGCCCAGTGACACAGACTATGAATCTAGGGCCCAGAATGCCTCACTTGGTAAGATTTATCGTTAACTCTTCATAATACTCCAGCAATCAAATAGTTCATGTAACTTGGTGGTTAAAACGTTCATGAAAGATAACTATGAAAAAGGTGACTAGAATATTACTGATGCTAGTAAGAACATTTTACACTGTATTATCACAGTGAATGTCTTAGCAGTGAACCCACAAGGTGAATAACTAACCACTACATGGTGAAATATGAAGGATAGGTTCAACTTTGCTTTTTTATTTAGTTTGATTACAGATTTGAGGCAAGATTGCAGATTTTCTAATACATTTCTTTTGAACAAATGCAGTGTATGAATAAATTGGAAAACATAAGAAATTATGATGCTACAAAATAATTGCTCCTGTCTATGACATCTGGAATGGTGAAATGTAAATTTTTGTTCCACAGACATTGTGTTACCTCATCAGAAGGCGATAGAAAGAATGGACAGCTTCCGGCACCAGCTGGGTGAAGACTGGCTGCAGTACAAACACCACCTGGAAGGCACACAAGTGATACAAGCAAATATGGGATCAGAAGTTCCCAAGCAAAGCCCACTAGCTAACATGACAGTGGATCAAAATCCAAGAGCTCCACACCAGATAGTGGTCAACCCCAAAACAGGATCACAGGGCCCACGAGTGAAGAGTCTGATTGGCCCTCTCTTAACGTCTGAGCCTAAAGAAGAAATGTCTGAAGTAGAAGATACAGAATCTACCCTTCAGTATACTGGACACAGCCAGGAAGGCACTGAATCAGTTTTGGAATGGAGTGAGCCTACTCTTGAGGTATCTGCCCAAGAGTTGGAGAGTGAGGGCCCAGAGGAAGAAGGGAAAGAACAGCTGGAGGAAGAGGAAGATGATTTTGAAGGTAAGCAGAATCATATTTGTAATTGAATAAGCCACTATAATCTCCCAAGCAAAAAGTCTATTTTAAAAAGTAATATCATATAAGATTATTTCTGAGATTAAAATAATTGGATAATCCAGCTGCAAGGTCTCTGAAATGTAATTGTTCTTTATAGTCCACAGCATTAAAACACTTCAATTTTACCATCTTGCAGTTTGTCTGCTAAACATTTAAACTTCCCAACTCACAGTGCCTGCCACTACCTTTGAGAAAGTGCAATTTTTATTATTCTGTAATGTATCTAAAATAAATATTCCCAGAGCAACAAAGCAACAGAAGGCGCCTGCACACCTCTTGTACATTTTGCTTGTTTGGATAGTTATTTTTTGTACTGCCTGATTCACAGGATTTTTTGTCCTTTCCAAGTTTTT